GTAAAATGTTTCGCTACCCTCAAAAAATTTCCCGTTTCATCAAATTGTAAACTTCTACTCAAATCTGTAAAACTAATCCTCATGGCACAACACCGACTCAGGTCACAACATCTATCAATTTCTCATCTTGAAATCCACGTCAAAGTCTGAAATAAAAAAAAAATCATCGTCATCAGAAGATTCTCAAGAGAACAGATATCATATCACATGGGTCTAGTCAAGAGGCAAAAGGAAATCAGAACAAATAGAAAAAAATAGGGAGACCAGAAGCGAAATTTTTTCGCCTGAATACTTGATTTTTTTCGCGATATTTTTGTGAGGAAGTTTTTAGATTTTAGTAGATTGATCATCTGACAAAAAACCGCATTAAATTGCCCCCTAGATATCAGAAATAGCCGCATTAAATTCCCCCTTAGACATCAAAAATATTTTAATTGATAAAATAACTTTGAGATTATGATGAATAATTTTTCAGTAAAAGATTTTTTGATATCTTCTGAAGGAACCGAGAAAATTGAACTCAAAGGGCATTAGAGCAAATACGGTATTCGCACACTCAAATTGGGAGTGCAAATAATTAAATAATTCATCCGCAAACTGACCAAGTTACAATTGATTTGATCCACTCTGAGCTGGGTTATAAGCTTTCAAAAATGCTTCTACTTATGAAAATCACAACGGCGTGCAAGAAACATTACTCATCTTAGGACAATCATACCAATCCCTAGACTTGAGGAATCGCTTTGAAAATTTCAGTAGATTTGCATGAAACGTAATATTATATTTCTACCAATTTTTGTAACAAAAAAAAGCAAAAGTTTGCAATATTTATTTCTCAATATAAACATAAACAGTATCATAATAATTATCTCTGTATGTTCCCGCATCGAGTAACTTCACTTTTGGAATAACCATCATATTCTTCTTCTTATTGTAATTGGTGGTTGGTCCGACCTTTTTCTTGGTCTGTAAACTTCCAGATTTTCCAACTAAAAAAAATTTTGTGTGTTACTTTTATATTCTCCCAAAATCCACACTTTGCTTTATTGTTTCCATTGCAAATTCTATAAACTTGATGTTGTTCAACTCCTTTTGCATTCTTCACAAATCTCTCAAGTTTCTTTGGGCTGTAATATTCGATTTCCAGACGATCTCCAACCTGAAAATAATATTTTTATGTGAACATAACATGTGTTACCTTGAGAAACATATTTCTCACTGGCATCGAACTGCAATCAACAACATGGGAAAATGCAAAAAGCACCAGTATTAGAGATGTTAACTTTAACATCTCAATACCTAGAATACTGACAGTTTTATCGTTTTCACACTGTTTTAATAGGAGACTGAATGCGGAACAAAAATTTAAAAAACGATTAAAAGTTGTCAAAAAGTTTAATCCCCAATGCAAACTGCATTTATTCACAGATTTGTCATTTTTTTTTGGGGTATTAGGACTAGACCTGTTAATACTGGTGGTCATTTAAAGGTGGGGGGACATGAAAAAAAAAATAATGTTCCCGAAATTCCGTCTGAATATGTCCCTCGAGGAGTTGAACTTGTGAGGGCGATGATTGAGGGTGCGGCGCCGCTACCGACTGAGCCACGCGGGCAAAGAGAAAGCGCACGCCCGATTGCATACATAAAGGCGAGGGCGACAGCTGTACGCAGAGTGACATTAAGCGTTGTACACCGTCACGGTAGAATGCATACTCTAGCTACAAAAAAAACTACAAAAAATCTCCTGTCCCCCCACCTTTAAAAGATTACTTTTAAAAACTGTGCGGTTACAAAAGATTGAAAACGAAATTGAAATTGAAGATTGAAACGGGTAGAACAACTCGGAGACATTTATGTTTTATGAATATTTATAGAAGCTAAATGAGATGTCAAAAACCTGTAAAAATCGTTGAAGGCTCGGCCCGGCCCGGAAGGCCCGGACAGGTTTTTTTTATTCGAAATTTCTCAAAAAAAAATTTTTTATAAATTTTTGAGAATTTTCAAACAATAATACTAGTTTTTGAGAAAAAAATGTTATTTTGCTTCAAAAATGCAATTTTTTCTTCGATCTCAACTTTGGAAAAATACAGGAAGAAAATTATTTTTCAAAAATTTGTTTAAACATTTACGAATTCAATATTTACAATTCAGCTTAAAATTAGATGATAAAAACAACTTTTTTCCAAAAAAAAAAACACTTTTTTGCATAAAAATCGAAGCTGGCGCCAACTGGCCGGGCATTCCGGGCCTCCCGGGCCGGGCCTTCCGGGCCGGGCCGGCCCTTGACAAATTTTTCCAACGCCCGGCCGGCCCGTTCTCACCCCCAGGCCGAAAAACTTTGTCTGAAAATTTGGCCCGATTTCGGTGCGCTGGGGATTTCGGCTTCCCCTTTGCTCCTCTACGCCCTCCGCGCCAGAGGAAAATATCGGTTGTGTGGTGTTGTGGTAAGAGGGTGTGTTATTAGGAGTGACTATGCTGGTTCGACCCCCACGGTGGTAAAATTTTTTTTGCATTTTTTGAAACTAATTTTCGATTCCAAGTTTGCCTTCCTAGGCACTATATGACACTTTTTGATTAATTTCAAAAGTTTTCAAAGAAAAAAAGATTTTATGAGAATTTGAGGAAAAAATAGATAATAGTCTTTTCGACCGGTTCTTACATCCTCGTATCGTTAAAAACGAAAAATTCAGTCTATGAAAGTTGCTCAATTTTGATATTTTTGAGGTGGAGAACTGTCAAATCGATCACATACAAGATTCGAACTTATTTCTATAGGTTTCAGTTAAGTTCAAGCGATATTTCAGAAATTAGGAACTGTCAAAGTTCTAACAACAATCAGAATTTGGAGATTTTTTGAGCCCAAAGACAACATTGGGATGAAAAAATTTGTCAGATTGCTATTTTTATCGTTTCTGAATAAATGGAACATTTTTTCGAACTTTTCAAAAAAAATTTCAAAAAAATCACTTTCGAAGTGTGACCCCATGATGATTTTTTTCAAAATTTTTCAAAAAAAATTTTTTTTGAAAATGTTTAAAAGTTACTTTAGAAAATAGAAAAATGTCCAAAAATGAGTTTCGCACTCGAGCAAATCCTGAAAAACTAATTTTTAACCTCGAAAAATGCATGTTTTTGGCCAAAATTTAGTACTAAAAGCACTTTCAGAGGCCATATTTCGGCTCCTTTGGGCTAAAAACGAGAACGGGCTAAAAATTTTTTTGGATTCGGATTCAGAATGTTCGAAAGTACCTTTGTACAAATTTTGAGCAAATTCTCAACCGTTGTCTGAAAAACCTTCCCTTGTTATCTTCGCTCTTCACTTTTTCTAAAGGGTCACGTCTATATTTATGGTTGAAAAGTTAGCAGAAAAATACATAATATGTTAAAAACTCCAAAAACGTAGTTGAGTCATTGAATTCAGTTTAAAAATTCACTTTTTCAAAATCAAACCAAGTTTCCGGTATTTCCCTTCA